CAGGCCCTAGTCACAGGGAACTTCTCATCAGGGGTAAAACGTACCTTGAACGAATGGCAGCAGCTGTGATGGGTGCTGCTGAGGAAAAGCGCAGGGTGCGTCACGCAGAGCTGGCCCAGGCGGAGGTGTGAAGAGGAAGCCTGGTGGGGTGGGGGAAAGGTTCTGTGGAGAGTGCCAACCTTATGTGAGTCCCTGAGGCAGGAGAGAGTCGGAACATTCTGGCAACTGACAGAAGCCAGCCCAAAGTGAGCACAGTGGGATGTGAGACGTGAAGAGCCTGGAGGTGTAGGTAGGACCTGCCCTCAGGACCCTGGAGGCCACACAGGGGCCTTGGTCTTCCTTCTAGGAGCAACGGGCAGCCTGGGAAGGGCTTGAAGCAGAAGGGAAGGGTAGGGACAAGGAAGGAGAACATGCTTATATTCTAGAATAACCTCTCTGCTTTTTTTTTTTTTTTTAGACAGAGTCTCACTCTGTCACCTGGGCTAGTACAGTGGCGTCATCACAGCTCACTGCAACCTTTGAATCATTGGACCAGAAGGGACCTCAGCAAATGCAGCAATGGGCTTCTCAGAGTAAAACACAGTGGCCTGCTCAAGTCCCCTGGACATTCACAGAATCCCGGGGAAGAGGATGCCCCCAATAGTGACTATAATTTAATGTCTCAACTCCCTAGGGGCTCAGGGTCAGATTCAAGTTGACGTAATAAAGAGAAATAAGTGCAGCATTTCTCGTGCACCCAAGAATACAGCCTGAGAGTCAATCTAGCTCATTCCTGATGTTTAAAAGAATGTCTTACAAGCATTAGAAGGAAATAGATGGAAGCCTCCCAAGGCCCCTTACTTCTGGCTTCCACCCTTTTAAAAGGACATCTATAGCCCTTGCATCTTCCTTCAATCCCCAAGAGACCCCCCTGCTGGGCTCTGGGCTGCACCTCAGGGTGGCCTTGCTGAAACCCATGCTAAGGATGGGGAATGCAGGACTAGAAACTGGTGGTAGCTGCAGTGAGTCCCATGGACAGGACAGAGGCCTGGAGAGAGGGTTTGTGGGTGTAGTAACCCCTGTTTCTCTGTGACAGCCCCAGTGGAAATAAGGTGGGGGAAACCTAGTCTGAAAGCCTGAATGCTAGGCCAAGAGCTTTTCCCACGGAGAGGTACGAGGAAAACGTTAGGTTTGTTCCAGGTGGAAATCCAAAAGGTATGTATAGGACGGATGCGGTTAATGGAAAACTTAGGCTTATAAAACAATAGCCGCAGGAGTCTGGAGAGTCCCCCAAAGTTGTAAAATCTAACAGACAGCTGCAGGCTGGTGTTCCTATTCCTCCCTGATAAGGACGAGACTACCCCTCTCCCTTATCTTTGCAGGATGAGACAGACGCAAGGGCCCCGGAAACTGGTTGTTTAAATAATTTTATTACAGCAGTTGTTCTGGCCCAGGTACTCACTCCCCCCAAAGAAACCCTCTATAAAACCCAAGGCTTTCCCCTCCCTCAGGGTGGACGCTCTTTGGCCTCCACCATCTGCACCCAGATGCTCAAAATAAACAGCATTTTGCTACACATGAGGCTTCATGTGTCTCTCTCTCAGCTCCAGACCTAACAGAAAAGAGCGTGACAGTGGTTGTGCGCGGCTTCACAGAGCTGAGCTGGAGAAGACGCCCGCCCGTGCCCTCGGGGCAGCAGTGTTTTCTGGCATTGAAAAGCCCCTCAGGCCTGGCAGGACCCACAGCAGACCACCTGCTGGGCAGTTTTCCTTTATAATGCAGCATCTGGGAACCAGTGAGCTGGAAGGAGGGGCAGGGTCTGAGGCAGACTTAGACTTACAGTCCCAGAAATTGTAAGAACCAGAAAATATTTAGAGAAACCAACATCGACTAAGCCCTACGCCATACAGAGACAATTCACACTCATGCAGACATCCTCAATCTCATGCTGGTGCCCAAGTTAAAGATGAGGAAACTGAGGCAGAGGGCTTGAGGCCCCCGGGTCACTCAGCTGGGGTGTAAAGACTGGAATATGTTGACCTGCAAAAATGTCTACGATGAGGACTTTGAAAGCGAAGAAGAGAATGCCATGCATGGGAACAACGAGGGAGCCCTCGGTTAGACAAGACAGATAAGAGGAGGTCGCTGTGAACTGAGACTGAAGACACTGGCCGAGTGAAGAGCGGAGCAGACAATGCCGCGGAGCAGACAATGCCACGGAGCAGGAACAGCATGTGCAAAGGGCCTGTGCCAGGAAAAATCTGACACGCCCAAGGAACCAAAAATGTCCAGTGCGCCTGGAGCATTTTGAACAAGAAGAAAAAGAGCAAGAAGACACTGGATCATGCAGTACCTTGCAGGCCAGGTGATAGGTTCAGATTTCATGCTGTGTGCCATGGGAGGCCACCAGAGGGACCTACCCGTACCAAGTCTAGCACAGAGCTCGTCACACTGACAAGGATAGGTAAAGGCTGTGGAATATCTGAACAAATAGACTCAAGCTAGGTTTCCAAGAAGGTGAGAACTACTGGCTTTACAGAAGGAAAAGTAAGATCTCAGCCTCTGCCCATGAGAAGAACAAACAGTTTCGCCTAATCCAAATTCGCTTTCATGCCTCTCTGCCTAAGACAGAGTCTTACTCTGTTGCCTGGGCTAGACTGCCTAGCTCACAGTAACCTCAAACTCCTGGGCTCAAGCCATACTCCTGCCTCAGCCTCCCGAGTACCTGGGACTACAGGTGCATGCCACCACACCCAGCTAATTTTTCTAGAGACAGGGTCTCACTCTTGCTCAGGCTGGTCTAGAAATCCTGAGCTCAAGCGATCTTCCCTCCTCTGCCTCCCAGAGTTCCAGGATTACAGGAATGAACCACCATGCCTGGTCTAAATTAATCTCTTTGGCTTCTGCATGGAGAATGGATAAAAGTCAAAAAAAGGAACTTTTTAGAAAGGTTTCCAGTTACCCAGGGGAGATCTGAAGGTTGTCTGCACCAGGCAATGGTGGCAGAAATGCAGGGACTTAGGCAGACACAAGATATACTTGGCAGGCAAAATGGCAGAGCAAAGATGGACTGAAAAAGGGGGTGAGAGATAGGAAAGACAGAAGCTCAGCCCCTGGGCTTCTGAATCAGCACCAGAGTGGGTGAAGTGAGTTTTCCTGAGACAAGGAATGCTGGAGAGTGAGTTGGTAAGGAAGGGGGAATGGGAGAATCAAGAGATCGGTTTTGGAGATGTTGAGTTTGGAGAACATACAAGACCCTGCAGGGTGTCAGGTGCGCGAAAAGTGAGCAGAAAGAACATATGTGAGCATGCACACACACACACTCTCATACACACACATATATATGCATGCATATATATGCACACATATACACATACATACACACTGCCATACATACACAAACACACGTATGCATATACATACATACATACCCATACACACACATGCATACACACTATAAAATCTGGATTTATTTGGCCAATACCAAAGACAGCCAGGCAGACTAGAGCAAATGTGATATGTTTAATCAGAGGTGTCTTGGACTCTTGGAGTCCCTAATGTGATGGGTGATTCTATCATCTAAACCAGGACACTTTTGAGAGTAAAGCCAGCCCTATTAAAAAATATGATTGGAAAAAATATATATGATTGGGCAACAGACATAGAGGTTGTTTCATGTTGCCTTACCAGTGGGCAGGTGTAGCTGTGTTTGCTCACTTTGCTCACTCCAAGGAAGATCCTACCAGATCTGAAATGCTCAATTTTGTACCGCAGCCCAACTTTAGATACCTAAGGCTTGTATCAACCCTCAGGAGAAACTTACACAATTTATGCCCTTAACAGGAAGTATATAGAGCCATCCAGTGCCCCCCTCCTTAGAGCCAAACTCAAGTCAATGAAGCCACACCCTCCCCTGGACATCTCTGAGTGTCTTCTTTGCCTCTAGCTTAGTCGCATCCAGGAAAACCCCGTGCCCCAGAGGTGGCCTAGAAGACGTGGCAGCTGGGCAGTGTTGTATACTACTAAGTTTCCCAGAGCTGTCTAGGCTAGAGGTGGAAGTGTTGGGATTGCCGGTATGCAGGTAGCATCTGAAAGCATGGGAGTGGCTGGGCCATAATGGGAAAAGCAGAGAACCAGCCTGAAGGGCTCCAGGGTGCAATGGCCAGAGTGCGCTGAGACAGCTGAGACTGAGCAAGAGTGCCGGCGGGGGCAGGTGGGGCGTGAAAACCAAGACAGGTGCAGGTTAGAGGGAGCCGGGTGGGAGGAAACTGTACGAAACGGCTTCCCATCTCAACAACCAATTGACTTCGCAATTGCAGCCAGGATCATTTTAATCAGAGAGATGGTCTGAACTTTCCCAGAGCTGGAACCTTCCTGGCTTACATCGCCAGGTAAGCCTCTTCAAGATTCACCTCACCCAGGTATTCCTCACTCTAAATGTCTTCTCCTGAGTGTACCTCCTTTGGCTACTTCCTCTGAAGTACAGCAGGGTACCTCTCCTAGGCCTGCCCGTGCAGTGTCCATCAAGAACTCACATTAGGCCGCAGCCCCACTGGTTAAGGATAAGCTTGCTATTTGGGGGTGTCAGGACATTAACCTTATTACAGGTCGCATTCTGGCGGTGGAAATATCCCTATATACATACAGCCTTTGTCTGTGTGGCCATGAAGAAAAGGAGTGACCTTAAATTCTTCAGAAGCTCTTTTTTCTCCTAAAATCCCACAACCATCAGGCTCCCAAGCAAAACCCAGCGATTCCCTAACTTGTATCTAACGCTTAGAATCTCAAAACTAAAAATTATCCTAAAGGTCCCTAAATCCAGGTGACATACAGCTCCCACCACACCCTGAAGAATTCACTTAGCCTTGGTTTGAACACCTCTGTGTGTGGGGAACTCACTATCTACAGAGTATCTGTTGCCGTCTATCAGACAGCTCAATCCAGAAGGAAGTTTGTCCCCCATGAGTCATGGTAGAAGCCTGGTATCCCCATCACAGCCCCAAACAGGATGGATCACGTACCTGTGGGCACCGCCTGGTCCAGCATTGGTTTCTCCCACGTGTTAATCTGCTCCCAGGTGAACCCATTGGTCCCCAGGGCTACGCTGTAACCACAGTTGCTGTAGTGCTCCTCAAAGGAACAGCCACCTGCAAACAAAGAGATATGGGTAAATAAATTCGTCTGAGGCTCTGTCCATTATCCCCATCTCATCGGCTCTTCATTTACAGCTTTGAATTTTAAACTCTGTAGAAGATTTAAAAAAAAAAAAAAAAGGGCGAGCAAATTGGATTTTTATATTTGCTTTGGTGCTCTCAGGAAAGGCACTGGCATCTGCAGGCCCCCCTATTTAAAAAAGTTAATAAGGCTAGTTACATTGATTTTAATCTTCCTTCCTGAGAAAGTAAACAGCAACGTCTCATTCTAAGTAGGAAAAATGAATGCCAGGGCATGCCTCTATAATTGCTTCCTACAACAGGGAGAGATGCTGAGAGGCAGCAGAAAGAGCACTTGCTTCAGAGTCTAACAAAACCAGACACATAGCACCATTGCAAAGCTGGGTGAGCTCAGGCCAGATGCTTAACACCTGTATGTCTCAGTTTCCTCACCTGTAATATGGAGGTGAACATCTACCTTATAGAAATATCATGAAAACTAAATGGAATTACATGTGGGAAATAACGGGCACAAAATATGTTCTCAATGCCCACCCCCTTCCTTGTAAAAGCAGCCTGAAGAATCATTTCTCATGGAGTAAGAATTGCATTTGTGAGAAATTAGACAACCAGGCACCTGGAAGATAATAAAGGCAATGTTGATCCTGTTTAAAGCTTCTCGCTTTAACTTGAAAGGTCAAACCATCCACCGTTTGACAATAAGTTATATCCATCTGATTTTGACAAGGATTCACTGGGCATATGTCACAGGCTGTAAGTCACTTCAAGGTGACATTGAGAGAGACGTGGGGTGTAAAGTGGAGGCTCCAACTAGGAAATGCTGGTCTGTCCTGGAGAACAGCAGGCCACTATATTCTGAAAAATAAAAGGAGGAAGAGGAGGAGGACTGAACAGGGCTCTGAAGGATGGCAGCATCTCCAGGGGCAGAGGGCGGGAAGAATGGCACTCTGGTGGGCCCACCACATCCACAAAGGCAGGGAGGCAGCACTGCACTGAATTCTACAGCAACCTCCCAGCTGTTCTCCCAGACCCCAGCTTCACACCCCAGTCCATCTTTCCCACTGTCCCTTTCTTGTCTCCCTTGTGCTCATAGATCTCATCACATGACCGTCCCCCACTATTAAACACTCAGAGGTTCCCCAACATGCACAAGACCACATCTGCTATAGTCTGTTTGCATCCTCTGCCCCTCCATTCATGCTGAAACCCTAAGCCACAAGGTGATGGTGTCAGGAAGTGGGGCCTTTGGAAGGAGATTAGAACATGAGGGATTGGGATTAATGGCCCTTTAAAGAAACCCCAGAAAGCTAGCTCACCCCTTCCAACATGTGAGGCCACAAGGAGAAGCCTCCATCCATGAACCAGGAACTGGGCCCTCACCAGATGCCAAATCTGCCAGTGCCTTGATCTTATACTTCCTAGTTTCCAGAACTGTGAGAGAAATTTCTTTTATATGCTGCTCAGTTGTGGTATGCTGTTATAGCAAACCGAGCAGACTAAGACAATGTCCAAACACAGCTCTGCTCAATGTACAGAAACCACCCCACACTAGCCCCTGCCTGTATCTGCAGTTTCATGTAACATCACACCATTGTCTCCATCAGTTACAAAGGACCAAATCCCTCCTCTGCACCCTAGACCCGGGATTTCCTCTGGATAGTGGTGGTGGAAGTCCTGTGGACAGATTTGACACAGAATTTGGTCAAAACACCATGCAAGAAAACCTGTGATGGCAAAGCTACTTTCCTTTCTTGCTGGAAACCCTGGAGAACTGGCCTTTAGCACCTGCTAAGGTCTAAATGTTTGTGTCGCCCCCAAAATTCATATGTTGAAACCTAATCCACAATGCAATGGTAGTAAGAGGTGGAGCCTTTGGGAGATAATAGATCATGAGGGCTCTGGCCTTATAAAAGAGGCCCTGGGGAGCTTGTTCACTACTTCCCCACATAGAAAGGCCCTCACCAGACACCGAATCTGCTGGTGCCTTGATATTGGACTTCCCAGCCTCCAGAACTATGAGCAAGAAATTTCTATTGTTTATAAATTACTGTTATAAATTATTGTTTATAAATTTCTATTGTTTATAAATCTAGGGGATTTTCTTATAGCAGCCTGAATGGACTAAGACAGCACCCCAATAATTCTTGAGCTGGGCAAAGGAAGACTGGACCTATTTCAGTGGTGCAGGAGTTTAGAGTATTATATTGCTTTCCACTAAATAGTAATAGAAAGTGATTGTAGTGTACGTAGACAGCTAAAGAGGAAAGGAAAGGAAAGAGAGAGAGAGAAGTCCAAGCAGCACAGTGAAAAGCAGAAACCCACAGAAGGTGGCAGCCAGTGAAAGATGTCCTGGGATGTGAAGTAGCTGATGCATTGGTAGGAACCAAGTATTTCCTTAAACTTATTCAAACTAATTCAACAATGATTGAATTGAGTACTTACTGTTGACCAGGCACAGTCCTAGGCACAGTGGTTTACAGAAGAGACATCTGTCACAATTTAGTGACAGACTGATGGTAATCAAACAAATTAATAAAAAATTACACATTCCAGTGTGTGCTAGGGAGGCTACAGTCAGGAGCAGGAGGGAGGATGGCTAAGCTGGAGTGGTCCAGGAGCTTTCTGATCACAAGTTGGACACAGCTACCTGTCCTGTGCTGCAGCCATCACAACACCCAAGCCCTCCGTGACAGTCGGCTATACACAGCAGCCATATGTCACTGGTGTGGAGGGAAGAAGGCAATGGCCAGTGTGCATGGATAAGGATCTGTAGACAAGGATAGAAGTCACAGGAGACAAGAGGAAAAGTAAGGACCAGATGACAGAGGAGACATCACCCCAGATATACTGGGGAGGGAGGACCCTCGAAAAGCAAGAAGGAAGACAACAGACCAGCTTCCACTAGAAGGTAATCTCCAGAATGCCTGGGAACTCTCCTAGTGCATAGTAGGGGTTTAATCACTATGTGCTGATCAATGAACCAATAATTGCCAGTGTGATGCCTGACACAGACCGAGGTGGACTTGAGTGATGGTGAGCCTGTACTAGTGGACCTGCCTTTCCAAGCCCTAAGCTCCACCTGCCCTTCCAAACCTCACACCTGCCCCCTCTCTCCCTAGAAAGCTCCTTCTCCCTTCTCCACATTGCCTGTCTGACAAATTCCAAAGGATCTTCCAAAAATCACTTCTCTAAACCTTCTCTGACCAGAAGAGCAGAGTGTATGTTCCAGTTATGAAAATACAACATACTCTATTGAAAACCAAAACAAAAACAGCAGAAGTGGAAGCAGTTCTTTTTGCTCTGAGAAGGCCAACCCCTTTTCCCTACATTGGCAACTCCTCACCAGAGCCCAGCATGTGAGAGACAAGTGAAGCAGGTCAATGTCATCAGCAACAGACCCTGACATGCTGCAATTCATCTGCGTGGGGAGGCTGCAGCATCCCAGGTATTCTTGGGAAGAGCTGACTGAGAATCCTAAACTGAGATCAGCCTCCAGGACCAGAGAAGGAAGTGGGAGAAGGAAAGCATGGCCAAGACAATGCTATGTATACGGCAAACAGTTTCATCCTTTGTTCTTGTGCACGCAAGAACACTATGCTGCCAGGACACCTTGCATCTAGGGAAGACCAAGTGGCAAAATCTGAAAATGTGTAACAAAGTGATATCCACCATTTTCAGGACTAGCCCATACTAATAATCTCTTCCAAACATTCCTTCTCACCTTCCCCTGCTGTGAGAACCTTCAAAGCTCTGGTGTAAGACAGTGGCATCCAAGCAAGAAAAAAGTCTAGATTCCTGAGATACTGGAGAAGGGCTGTTTAAAGAGTCACCTGACCAGGAACATCAGCATTCAACGTTTCTGGAGCAAAATACAAACTTTTCTTGTCATATGCCACTGAGACCTTAGGGTTTATTTGCTACCACAACAGAGACTTGGACAACTTGAGTAATACAACAAATGGGCCATACCTCAACAGAGTGATTTAAAAAAATAAATATTAAACAGAAGCATGCTCTCTCAAGAATTTGCTCTGAGCCGGGCAATACACTAGACACTGATTACATATGCTATCTCATTAGCCTTCACTTAATCCTCACAACTATATGAGGTACATTTTATCCTTGCTTTAAATATAAAGTAATTGATGCAGTGATGGGTTAAATAACCTGCTCGGACCACACAGAGGGAAGTGGTAGAGCCGATATTAAATCCATGGTAGCCTAACTGCAGAGCCCATGCTCTCTAATAGACCAGAGAGAGAATCATCTCCCCAAACCAAGGATGAAGGCTTTCACTTCTAAGGGAATGAGAGGGGACCAGGCAGATAAAGGGCTTCCAAGGTAATAGGGTCTCTCCCATTTGAATCCATTCTCTCGCTTCTTCTAGAAACATTTAACAGAGGACTTCTTTGCTATGAGCTCTATGCAGGGCGCAGAATTAACAGGTATGATCCTTACCCTGACCAAGTTCACAGAGTAGAGGGAAAGAGGAGGACACCAACATACACTGAAGGTGCAATGTGAAATATGCTTTCATACAAAGGAGTTGATGCTCAAAGAAGTTATTCATTTATTTTAGTTCATGGTCTAATTAACCAAATTCTCTTCCTGCTTCTAGACAAGATTTAACGAGGCTCACAGTTATACCCCTAGGCATCCCAGATTACAGATTCTAGGCAGGGTCACATTAAAAAGTGCTCCCACTTCATTGGATGAGTTGTCCACCCCTCACCTCCCTGCCTGTGCCCAGCCACAGTGGATGCGTTGGCTACTCCTGAGCTGGCTACTGACGGGTCTTGGCCCTATAAGGACTAAGGACCTGCCATTTCTTCGCAGCCACTCCCCGGACCACCTTACTGATCCCACCTGCTGAGCTGCGGTGGCCATTTCAATCTGTAGCCAGTGAGCAAATGCTTTTCCCTTCTTTTCATTCTAGGGTCTCACAGCAGCAAGCCTGGGACCCCAGTGACCCA